ACATTAGCCACATTTAAATGCAGACTCAAAACTCATCTGTTTAGCTGTGCATTTATTGCATGAGCACTGTGCAACGTCCCAACTGATTGCACTGTATTTTATGTATTGCACTGTATTTTATATTTTCACATACATATATTTTTGCAATGAAAACAATAAGTCTTATTTATTGATTGTGGCTAGGCCTGTGAAAATTTTGCCAGGGCAAGTAAAAAATTGAAACCACTGGCCAAACCGGGCCAGTAGAAAATTTCCTTAGCGTTGAACCCTGTCAATATGATCAAAATCAGTCTCATAACACTTGTACACAGATCTGTAGAACACGTAGGTTACATAATCAATACAATGTTACAGTCAACAATGAAAACAATAAGTCTTATTTATTGATTGTGGCAAGGCCTGTGAAAATTTTGCCAGGGCAAGTAAAAAATTGAAACCACTGGCCAAACCGGGCCAGTAGAAAATGTCCTTAGCGTTGAGGCCTGTCAATACGATCAATATCAGTATCATATCACTTGTACACAGATCTGTAGAACACGTAATGATATTTTAAAATTAAAAACTTAAAATATGTACTTGAAAAGAAAACAAGATGACTTTGAATAGCATCATTGTAAAATTGTGAGGAAGAGCTGAGCAAGACTTGCACATGTATTTTTCCTGGTCTGAGAGTGACTTCCTGCTTAAACAGGAAGTAATGGATACCAAAAAAGGTAGACATGTGTGTATGTGAAATGAGAATGTATATGTGTGAAAGCAGAAATGTATGTATGTGTAAGGAGACTGAAAGTGTGTGAGAGTAGAAATGTATGCATGTGAAAGGATAATGTAAGTGTGTGAGAGTAGAAATGTATGCATGTGAAAGGATAATGTAAGTGTGTGAGAGTGCCAAAATGAATTATGGCATCTACAATCTATGGTTGTAGATGAGCATGTTAGGTTCTGCAGGACCCAGAGCTGATTATATCATGTGTGGTTGCTGTGATCACATGAGAGCTATTCAGTAAACAGACGTCAAACCTCGCTTTAGTTCAGAGTGGCTTTCTCCACAGGATAATGTAATAATACTCTTACTTGCCTATATGAGCATTTTTGTTCTTTAAAGTAATATCCAAATGTGTTCTTATTGTTCTTTTCTCTCTCTCTCTCTCTTTTGTCTGTGTGTGTGTTTCGTTCTATGTAGGTAATGAAATTTCACACATACATTTTATTCTTGCTCTCGAGGGAAGTTCACGTTTTTAGAATGGTGTCATTAGCATTAATGAATGCATACATGAATGCATAATGAGAGTTTGTCTTTTTATGCACCTTCCGGTTTCACTGCCATTTCTTCTTTGCTGTATTGATTTCTCTATTGGGTTGTCCATGCTTTCATATGAACTGATGGGTTAGGGTAAATCGTTCATCTGTTCTAATTCGGTCACCTACTTGCGTTCTCCTACAGCTGCCTCTCATCTCTCTCCTGCAGAAGATCAGAGGTGTGTGGAGTCAGACGTGAGCCATCTCTCGCTCCGGTGGAGGCTGTCTGGACCCAGCTGCGTTTGCATGCAGTGGCTGCTGATTTGATGCAGAATGCCTCTAGTTCAGTGTCAGCCGGCAGGCAGAAGAGGGAGCAAGACATATCTTCATCTGCTGCTCCTCTTCCTCAGTGTGCTACAAACACATGGATACATTCAAATCCCTCCTGATTGTAAGTGACAGTCCATTCGGACTCTAAACCTCATTCAGAAAGAATCTTGAATAATGTGCAGTTACAGTGTTTTGCGAAGTGTTGAGCTTTTAGCAGTCATTTCTTTAATGGCGATTAACAAACACCGCCTGGGTGCAGTTTCACACTTTTTGACACAAAACTGAGTATTTGGTGGTATGTTAAGAAATGCTTTTTAATCAGACGTATAATTTGCAATGATTTGGTCAAAGATACTATGTCTTATTCACTAATCGTGCATAATGCACAAATAGTGTTTTGACAAAAAAAATCATGATTACTCCTCATGTGCTTTATTATTACCTTGCCAGAAGCCTACAAGTAGATGTGCTGGATCCTTATTGAGGGTCACGTCTTCTGTGATGCAGGCCAACTTAGAGAGGAAGGAGAGCAGGATGCAATTGCAAAAGATTAATTGGGAATAAAGAGACGATACAAATCTTTTTTTCCCCCATACATTACAATGTGTGTGTTTATTTATGTTTTTTTTTTTCTGAGCAAAAGATGATGACTATCATACATTTTTACCATGATTTACAGAAGACACTGTAATGTGATACTTGATGCTTGAAAGGCCCTTTTCGTCTGTAACCCCTCTCCATAGTGCCAAAAGAAAAAAAAATCCCCAAATAATGACACAATAGCTCTTCCTCAGGCAAGCGGCTTACAACACACAAACACCAAGCAAAGACAGTAGTGAAACTGAGTAACTAAAATATAAGGGTGGAAACAAGACACTTGAAACAGATGACATAATTACAAATGATGGGAAACTAACAAAACATACACACTGAGTGACAAAAACAACTAAAGGCCAAACACAGCTTTAACAAAAAAACACTCATTTTGGACTACCAGTGTAATTAGGGCTTTAAAGTGATTACAATTTTTAATCTAATTAATTACACACCAAATTTGGCTGAGAAATTACTTCCAAGAGAAAAAGTCATTGAGTCGTTTCTTCATTTGATTCATTCAAAATCTAGATTCATTCAGAAACGATTCATCGGAGATGCACAACAGTTCTGCTGTGGCGTTACTGGTCATTTTTTGTTGGCAAAATTGTGCAAAAACAAAACAAAAAAATAGGGGGAAAAATCTAACACATTAACTTATTTATTGAACTATAAAGTTATTATAACATTTGCACTTGTGGTGTTCGGGACAAAAACAGCACGTTTGCTATTGCACTCGTTGCTCGTGATATGATATAAATATGAGACAGAAACTCGAACAGGGACATTTATGCCCCAGTATCCTGCATTCTAGGCTCCATCACGCAGTGAGCTGTTGCCCTGCATGATGTTCGTCACTGATCCACAGAGAGGCCAGGTGCCTTAAATGCCTTAAGAATTTTAATGCGTCATTTTTTTCCCTTATTAATTATATTATGAATTGACAGCCCTACTGTGTATACTGTATGTAAGAGAGCAGCAAGCCAAAAAGTCACATCTTAGTCTTAATGTCTGTTTTTTTTTTCATTGTTCGTGTCCTCCAGACAGCTGCTTATATTGTGCTGAACTCCTTCTGTCTAATGAAATCTTACATGGGTGAGGGAAAGGATTGACCTCAGACACATTTACATGGACTGAATCATTTAGGAATGTGATTTCTTTGTTGAATTTTGTTAGGAAGAAACACTGTGATAAATGCACTTCTCTATGGGATGCTGTTCCACATCAACAGAAACAGCTGAAAGTCTGAGTGCCTGCATGACTCTGCCTAACCCTGCTCTCTCTCTCTCTCTCTCTCTCATTCACTGCTTCCTTCTGCTGCTCTATCAGACACATATGACAGCCGTAAGTACTTCAGCTTCCTCTGTGTGTATTACTTTATTTCTGGCTCTGATGAGTATCTCGAACAGTTGAGTTTTTGAATTATAGCTACTACAAATAGATTTTTCTTGTGCTGTGAGACAGTATAATTTAGTGTAATCACACTAAAACAACTGATAGATACAGATATGGTCACTACTTTGTTTAACAGACTTTATTCAAATGTTTATAGGTGTTTTAGGGGGAAAACACTATGAGAAAGTTCAGGAGCATGTTGTACTGTCCTGTTTTTTTTTCATAAAAGATGTAACAACTGTTCTCACACCAAATAGATGCGAATCGTCATTTGACCCTCTAATACTTGCACTCTCTATTCTATTTCTATTCTTACTACTTGTCTTCTTTAAAAAAGAGAGAGCCTCTGACACTTGCATTCTCTATTCTTTTGACTTGTTTTATTAATTCAATTTTTTTTTTCAAAAGACCCTCTAACACTAGCGTTCCCTATTCTTTTTCTGTTCTATCAACTTATTTTACTTTTTATTTATTTAAAAAAATAACCCTTGCTACGTATACTGTGTTAAGCTAACTGAGACTAATCACAGCTCTTATTATTATACACTTATTATTACTTATTATTGTTATTAATACATATTATTGCCCTTTTGTTAGTCTGATTGCTTCTGTTGTCCTCATTTGTAAGTCGCTTTGGATAAAAGTGTCTGCTAAATGCCTAACTGTAAATGTAAATGTAACTCTACCTTTAACTCAAAACACTGATCAACCGTGGTTTCCCCCAGTAAAACAAGCTCCAAAGATCACAGCTCAACCCGGGTCTCACACCGCTTACTCTCTGGATGATATCAGTCTAGCCTGTGAAGCCAGTGGAGATCCGACACCCAGGTGAGTCTGAGACGGTCCTTCCTCCTGCCCTGGTCAACTGACAAACATAAATCCCTCAACTCATTTTCTGTCACCCTTGTCTCAAATAATTGAACCGGATGGGTCAGATACTGTAAATACAAAATGTGCACTACTGTAGACTCCCAGGACGTGGAAAGTCAAAGATCAGGTCAGAACATCATCAGGGTTTTGAGAAATTCTCATTGATCTTCACCGTGAATAGAAATGTATGCATGTGAAAGGATAATGTAAGTGTGTGAGAGTGCCAAAATGAATTATGGCATCTACAATCTATGGTTGTAGATGAGCATGTTAGGTTCTGCAGGACCCAGAGCTGATTATATCATGTGTGGTTGCTGTGATCACATGAGAGCTATTCAGTAAACAGACGTCAAACCTCGCTTTAGTTCAGAGTGGCTTTCTCCACAGGATAATGTAATAATACTCTTACTTGCCTATATGAGCATTTTTGTTCTTTAAAGTAATATCCAAATGTGTTCTTATTGTTCTTTTCTCTCTCTCTCTCTCTTTTGTCTGTGTGTGTGTTTCGTTCTATGTAGGTAATGAAATTTCACACATACATTTTATTCTTGCTCTCGAGGGAAGTTCACGTTTTTAGAATGGTGTCATTAGCATTAATGAATGCATACATGAATGCATAATGAGAGTTTGTCTTTTTATGCACCTTCCGGTTTCACTGCCATTTCTTCTTTGCTGTATTGATTTCTCTATTGGGTTGTCCATGCTTTCATATGAACTGATGGGTTAGGGTAAATCGTTCATCTGTTCTAATTCGGTCACCTACTTGCGTTCTCCTACAGCTGCCTCTCATCTCTCTCCTGCAGAAGATCAGAGGTGTGTGGAGTCAGACGTGAGCCATCTCTCGCTCCGGTGGAGGCTGTCTGGACCCAGCTGCGTTTGCATGCAGTGGCTGCTGATTTGATGCAGAATGCCTCTAGTTCAGTGTCAGCCGGCAGGCAGAAGAGGGAGCAAGACATATCTTCATCTGCTGCTCCTCTTCCTCAGTGTGCTACAAACACATGGATACATTCAAATCCCTCCTGATTGTAAGTGACAGTCCATTCGGACTCTAAACCTCATTCAGAAAGAATCTTGAATAATGTGCAGTTACAGTGTTTTGCGAAGTGTTGAGCTTTTAGCAGTCATTTCTTTAATGGCGATTAACAAACACCGCCTGGGTGCAGTTTCACACTTTTTGACACAAAACTGAGTATTTGGTGGTATGTTAAGAAATGCTTTTTAATCAGACGTATAATTTGCAATGATTTGGTCAAAGATACTATGTCTTATTCACTAATCGTGCATAATGCACAAATAGTGTTTTGACAAAAAAAATCATGATTACTCCTCATGTGCTTTATTATTACCTTGCCAGAAGCCTACAAGTAGATGTGCTGGATCCTTATTGAGGGTCACGTCTTCTGTGATGCAGGCCAACTTAGAGAGGAAGGAGAGCAGGATGCAATTGCAAAAGATTAATTGGGAATAAAGAGACGATACAAATCTTTTTTTCCCCCATACATTACAATGTGTGTGTTTATTTATGTTTTTTTTTTTCTGAGCAAAAGATGATGACTATCATACATTTTTACCATGATTTACAGAAGACACTGTAATGTGATACTTGATGCTTGAAAGGCCCTTTTCGTCTGTAACCCCTCTCCATAGTGCCAAAAGAAAAAAAAATCCCCAAATAATGACACAATAGCTCTTCCTCAGGCAAGCGGCTTACAACACACAAACACCAAGCAAAGACAGTAGTGAAACTGAGTAACTAAAATATAAGGGTGGAAACAAGACACTTGAAACAGATGACATAATTACAAATGATGGGAAACTAACAAAACATACACACTGAGTGACAAAAACAACTAAAGGCCAAACACAGCTTTAACAAAAAAACACTCATTTTGGACTACCAGTGTAATTAGGGCTTTAAAGTGATTACAATTTTTAATCTAATTAATTACACACCAAATTTGGCTGAGAAATTACTTCCAAGAGAAAAAGTCATTGAGTCGTTTCTTCATTTGATTCATTCAAAATCTAGATTCATTCAGAAACGATTCATCGGAGATGCACAACAGTTCTGCTGTGGCGTTACTGGTCATTTTTTGTTGGCAAAATTGTGCAAAAACAAAACAAAAAAATAGGGGGAAAAATCTAACACATTAACTTATTTATTGAACTATAAAGTTATTATAACATTTGCACTTGTGGTGTTCGGGACAAAAACAGCACGTTTGCTATTGCACTCGTTGCTCGTGATATGATATAAATATGAGACAGAAACTCGAACAGGGACATTTATGCCCCAGTATCCTGCATTCTAGGCTCCATCACGCAGTGAGCTGTTGCCCTGCATGATGTTCGTCACTGATCCACAGAGAGGCCAGGTGCCTTAAATGCCTTAAGAATTTTAATGCGTCATTTTTTTCCCTTATTAATTATATTATGAATTGACAGCCCTACTGTGTATACTGTATGTAAGAGAGCAGCAAGCCAAAAAGTCACATCTTAGTCTTAATGTCTGTTTTTTTTTTCATTGTTCGTGTCCTCCAGACAGCTGCTTATATTGTGCTGAACTCCTTCTGTCTAATGAAATCTTACATGGGTGAGGGAAAGGATTGACCTCAGACACATTTACATGGACTGAATCATTTAGGAATGTGATTTCTTTGTTGAATTTTGTTAGGAAGAAACACTGTGATAAATGCACTTCTCTATGGGATGCTGTTCCACATCAACAGAAACAGCTGAAAGTCTGAGTGCCTGCATGACTCTGCCTAACCCTGCTCTCTCTCTCTCTCTCTCTCTCATTCACTGCTTCCTTCTGCTGCTCTATCAGACACATATGACAGCCGTAAGTACTTCAGCTTCCTCTGTGTGTATTACTTTATTTCTGGCTCTGATGAGTATCTCGAACAGTTGAGTTTTTGAATTATAGCTACTACAAATAGATTTTTCTTGTGCTGTGAGACAGTATAATTTAGTGTAATCACACTAAAACAACTGATAGATACAGATATGGTCACTACTTTGTTTAACAGACTTTATTCAAATGTTTATAGGTGTTTTAGGGGGAAAACACTATGAGAAAGTTCAGGAGCATGTTGTACTGTCCTGTTTTTTTTTCATAAAAGATGTAACAACTGTTCTCACACCAAATAGATGCGAATCGTCATTTGACCCTCTAATACTTGCACTCTCTATTCTATTTCTATTCTTACTACTTGTCTTCTTTAAAAAAGAGAGAGCCTCTGACACTTGCATTCTCTATTCTTTTGACTTGTTTTATTAATTCAATTTTTTTTTTCAAAAGACCCTCTAACACTAGCGTTCCCTATTCTTTTTCTGTTCTATCAACTTATTTTACTTTTTATTTATTTAAAAAAATAACCCTTGCTACGTATACTGTGTTAAGCTAACTGAGACTAATCACAGCTCTTATTATTATACACTTATTATTACTTATTATTGTTATTAATACATATTATTGCCCTTTTGTTAGTCTGATTGCTTCTGTTGTCCTCATTTGTAAGTCGCTTTGGATAAAAGTGTCTGCTAAATGCCTAACTGTAAATGTAAATGTAACTCTACCTTTAACTCAAAACACTGATCAACCGTGGTTTCCCCCAGTAAAACAAGCTCCAAAGATCACAGCTCAACCCGGGTCTCACACCGCTTACTCTCTGGATGATATCAGTCTAGCCTGTGAAGCCAGTGGAGATCCGACACCCAGGTGAGTCTGAGACGGTCCTTCCTCCTGCCCTGGTCAACTGACAAACATAAATCCCTCAACTCATTTTCTGTCACCCTTGTCTCAAATAATTGAACCGGATGGGTCAGATACTGTAAATACAAAATGTGCACTACTGTAGACTCCCAGGACGTGGAAAGTCAAAGATCAGGTCAGAACATCATCAGGGTTTTGAGAAATTCTCATTGATCTTCACCGTGAATCATTATTGGTGATTGACAATCTCTTTGACATCACTACATACAGCAGAGCTGACCATTTACTGTACCTTCCTGCAAAGTTCAGCTCCAACCCTGATCAAACACATATGAAGCAGCTCATTAAGATCCTCAGGAGCACTTGGTCATTACAGATAGCTGCAGGCTTTGGACTGAACACCCCTGATATCTGTGGTCAGCTTTTGTAATAGTTGTGTATGAGTCCCTCAGTCATCCTCAGTGTGAGAACCACACAGTTACTAATGGAAAGGGTTCACGTATGCAGAATACAAGCAAAGGATTTGTCTGAACAGTGGACTGTTGAACTGCTCAGGACAAACTAGGCACTCATACACACCTATTACAAAACAAACAGGTGTGGATCACCCAGGTAATGATATTAAGAATCAAGGTAAACTTTTGAACAGGCTCATTCTTTTGTTTTGTGGATTATATGGAAACATCTGTTATGTGAGTCTCCAGGGAGGGTCAACTGAACAACACATAACACACCTCAGGACTGTACATCTGTAAATAACTCATCAAAACTTTCATCTGTAAATAGCACATATGCACATTCACAATTCTGTCTATTTTATCTATATTTTATTATTATATTGTTATTTATAATTATTGTCTATTCTCTTAATTATTAGTGTTTTTATTACCTTAAATTATATGTATGTCTGCATTGTGTTTGTACTTTCTGTACTGGAAGCTTCTGACACCAAGACAAATTCCTTGTGTGTGTGTGCTCTTTCTGATTCTGTAGTTCATGGCAGTACTCTTTGCAGATTCTGTGAACTTGTGACCACAACTCTATGTACCCCTTCGTTTTTCTCTCTCCATCTGTATGTCTTTAGATTTAAGTTTAAAATTGTCTTTCTTTTCTTGCCCCACACTGACAGTTTCCGCTGGGTCAAAGATGGCAAACAGTTTGGGGAGGTTCTGTTTGAGTCTGGAACCCTGACAGCAGATGACACAGAGGAACTCCGATTCTACCAGGGCTCGTACCGCTGCTATATGGCCAATGAGCTGGGAACCGCCGTCTCAGGCCTGGTGCACCTGATCACAGAGTGTGAGTCTCTCCTCAAACACCACAAGCACTATGTCTCAGTGGCTACGTTTGGAAGAACACAATGCACTATATATATATATATATACTGTATATAGATATAGATATAGATATATAGATATACACACACACAGTGGGCATAGAAAAGAATCAGCCCCTTTAAAATAATCACATTTTGTTGCGTTGCAGCCTGAAATGAAGACTGACACAATTTTGTCTTATACAGCTGTATTTACTCAGTGCAACATATAACATCCAAGTGAAAGATAAAGCACCAACATGTCAGAAAAAAAACAAAAATTAAAAAAACAGAATCACTGAGTTGGAAAAAGGATCGCCCCTCCTAAAAATGACTTGTAATGAACCTGATGAAAGAGCCGGAGGAAACTGCTCAGAGAGGCAACCGAGAGCTACTGCAACTCTGAAGCAGCTGCAGGAGTTTATGACAAAGAGTGGTCATTGTGTGCATGTGACAACAATATCACAAATTCTCCACAAAAGTGGCTTGAATGGAAAAAAGCCGCTCCTCATGAAAGGCCACATGCAGTCAGATTGAGTTTGCTAAAACACACCTCGAAGATTCTGAGGCAGATGAGACTAAAATTTAATTATTTGACTTCAACACCAAACGATAAAATCCAATCCAGCTCAGTATCCAGATAACAGCATTCCTCCAGTAAAGCAGGGTGTTTCTCTGCAGCAGAGACGGGAGCACTTGTAAGGATAGAAGGAGAAATGGATGGTGCAAAATACCGTCAAATTCATGAGGAGAATCTGCTGCCCTCTGCCAGAAAGTTGTCAATGGGAAGAAGGTTTACTTTCCAACATGATAATGACCCAAAGCACACAGCAAAACTGAGCACACAGTGGTTGAAGGAGAAAAAGCTGAATGTCCTTGCATGGCCTCGTCAGAGCCCAGACTCAAACCTCACTGAACATCTGTGGAAGGACTCGAAGACTGCAGTCCACAAACACTCACCATCAGATTGAACTGAACTTGAGCAGTTCTGCAAAGAAGAGCAGGCAAATACTGCACAGTCTAGATGTGCAAAGTTAGTAAAGACAAATCCAAACATACTAAAGGCTGTAATTAAAAGCAAAAGGTGTTTCAACAAAATACTTACACAATGGGGCGATCCTTTTTCCAACTCAGTGATTCTGTTTTTTTATTTTTATTTTTTTCATTTTTTTCTGACACGTTGGTGTTTTATCTTTCTCTTGGATGTTATAAGTTGCACTGAGTAAATAGAGCTGAATAAAACAAAAACTGTGTCCGTCTTCATTTCAGGCTGCAAAGCAACAAAATGTGATTATTTTATATGCTTTTTATATTTAACACATCTGCAGTATACAGTATGGTTACCTGTGCATTGTATGCAAAATATTTGTATGCATATCTGGATGGTCCACTACATTCTCCACAATAGCATAGTCAACAGCATAGCTGAATCCATGTCCATTATGGATGTGTGTTTTAAGCCAGCTGGAGAAAACAAAATGAAAGACAGATCAATAGCACTGATGTGAATTGGCAGCAGTTAGTGAGCAGACTTTGTGCCTCCAGAAAGATAGAGGTCAGTATACAGTCCAAAAGCACTGTGACTATCAGAACAAGAAAGAGCCTGAGGTCACCTATAAGCCATTTTTCACTAATTGAATTCAAATGCAAAAGATGCCCCAGACTATAATTACGGAATTATACATTCAGTGCTGTAAGCTTATGTGACAACAGCATTGCAACGTTTTATCACTGAAGTATGTTTAAAGATCATAGAAAGAAGAAGGGAACTAGGCGGTACACAGCATATAGTATGCAGTACTCAAGTATTCCATTCCAAAACAGCCAGTGTGAGAGTCTGAAATCATTTATGCATGAATATTGCTTTGCTATAATGGCAAATGTCACCATACTGACGTCATTAGAGTTGCTGCTATCTTTGTGCAGACACAAACCTGACAGAGCCCTTTGAATAAAAAGTGAACATTGCATAAATAGATACATTAAAGAATTATTCTGGCTATTTCACAGCCATCCCAACCTTGGCCAAAGAGAAGAGGCAGAAAAGAAGATCGTTTGAGGAGGGAGAAAGCACAGTCCTCTACTGTAACCCTCCGAAGAGTTCTGTCACTCCCAAAATACACTGGATGGACATGCGTAAATATTCTATTGAATCTACTTTTGCCAAACTAAATTGCTCTGCATAACACTTGAATT